TCCCACTGGCACAGGAGCACAGCTTTGATACTGTGAGCAGGACAGGATGACCACAATTCCTTATCCAGTTAGAAACAAAATATCTCTGAATCAGGTCAACCACAGGATTAAATAAAATACAATCAGAATTAGCTGTCCATGTCCCCAGAAACCAAGCAAAGAGACTTTTACATAAACAGCCTTGTTTTCCATAGGAAGGTGGAAACTGGTTGGATTCAGGCCAGGGTAGCTGTGGAGAACTCCAGCTTCTGCCTCAGCAAGCTGAAGAGCAGCACTGCTCCACCAGATGAAAGGTTTCCATGTTATTTCCCACTGCTGGGTGACGGATCCCCAGGGCTCACGGCAAGGCTGTTTGCAATCATAACAAGTGACGGCACACTGCTTTGCTGAGGTGAATCATCTTCCCAGGGTGACTCGTCCCTGTCTATTTCCACTGGTGCACTGGTGGCCCTGCAGTATGATGCTCCGAGCAATCCCCAGGGGACCATGGGCACGGGAGAGCACCAAGACAGGCAGGTGCCCATGGGACCTGCTGTTGAGGAAGGCCTCGTCACATCCCAAGAAGTGTGTGATTTTAATAACATACAGCTACCGAAATGCACCCCCAGGACACGGATAAGGTGTCAGCTCACCCGTGGTTTGCAAACAGCAGCTCTCAGTGAGCACAGGGGTAAATAACTCCCCCAGGCACTGTTTGGAGCAGTTGTGCTGTCACTCTTCAGTAGCTTAATTGCACAACCTGGGACAAACACAGGAACAATGCTCCTGCCTTTTAAGACATTATAAAGCAAGACCTGCTTGCCTATTAACAGCTTTAAATAAAACTTTCTTAACTCTACTCAAAGTTAATACATATTTTACACACATTTTAATTACATCTTTAACTGCTAACAATATGGGTGTACTTATTGTACCAGAACCTTCTTATTTGGTGGCTGCAATATCTTTATGGAGGGATAACTTCAAAGCCTGTAATTCAGATTACCATGTGCTCCCCTACAGCTCAGCTAAGCAGCCCCGTTCAAGAAACTGAATACATAAGGCATTTTTCCTTGGACTGCCTTATAGTGGGCAGGCTGTTATGCTTCAAACTACTACTCAAACAATATTGACATGTTAAGTTGGAAAAGAAAACCCTATCAGAGTCCTGGACCAGCAAGAAAATTGTGTCCTGGCACAATGAACCTTCTAGAATTATAAATACAAATGAAGTATCAAAGAATTGGTTCAAAACATTCCATGTGTCTTGCACACCAAATACATTTACCCTCCATTACACCAGAATTCCAGAGGGTCATGCCAGGACATTTGTCGTCATTGTATTGGCACCAAAGCCACTTCCCAAATGACCAAATTTGGTCTGCAGCTGAGCTGTAAACTTTAACAACACGAAATCACCCAAGTGGTTTGCTATTTATTAACTTGAAATTCCAGTAGCCTATGATAAAATACTCTGCCTGATGGTTGTGATAAGGTCACCAAGAGCCCAAAGGTCATTTGATTTGCCCAGAGGAACCTACTTTTGTGATGTTGTTGACAACATTGGGGTTGGCCCTTCCTGGACCTCCCCTTGCCACAGCAGATGTTGACAGAGCTGCAATTTGGGTAAAAATGAAGAAACACGCAACACCTTAAAGCCTTGTACATGGAAGAGGAAGCCCCTTGCCCAGAAGACAGAGCTATGGTGCCATCTGGGAAGCACCAACCTGGAGGTGCTGGTCCCCACACTGGCCCCTTGCACCCCAACACCTCCTCTGCCCACACTGACTGTGCTTCCCTGAAGTCCCATGCTCCTCTTTGGGGGGACAGGCTGATGAGGGTGTTGAGTGGGGCAGCAGGGACACCCCAATGGACTGGGGCTCAGGCAGACTGGGACAGCGTTTGCACCCTTTGTAGAAAGGGCACGGCAGCACTGGTGTCCCCAGCAGAGCCAAACCCTGGAGCAGGACACAGACACCATGTCTTGCCCACAGAAAAGAAATGAAGCTTCAGCAAAGCCCCAGGGTGACCTTACTCCCCATGGGTGCTCCCTCCCCCACGGAGCACCCCGTGAGTCATGTACCCTTTGAGCCCAGAATAGGCTTCCTCTGACAGAGCAGAAAGGGATGTGGGCTCGCCCACAGTCTCTCCCTGCAACCCTCCCAGAGAGGCACAGGAAACCTCAGAGATCCTCTCAGTCCATCTCTGCCAGCAAAAACAAATCCACTGGTAGCCTGCAGGCAGCGAGGGCTGCAGCCAGGAGGAAACAGCTGCACCTGAAGGGAGAGGAGGAACTCTCACATCACTGCTGGACCCTTGCACCCCATTGTCCCCTGGGGAACCTATACAGTCATGCAATACAGGGACACATCCCACCCCATCCATCCCACAGCACCCGGGCTGGCAGCAAAGCTTGGCTGAAGGGCCCCAGGCAGCACCTACTCACTGCTCTGAGCTTTTGCCCAAACTACCTTTGGCATTGCCTTCAGCCTCATCACCTGTCTCTCCTCCCTTGGGAGCAGAGAGGCTGAGGAGGGGATCTAATAGGAAACATCCCACAGGTGCTGCTCAGCTGGACTGCATCATTCAAACGGGACAAAAACCTCAACCTGAGTTGGTTTCACCAGCAGCTTCACCATCTTGTGCAAGAGCAGGGCAGCCCTGAACTGTCAGGGTTCATGTGCCCACATTGAGCATGTTTTATGGTCTGATAAGGAGCAAAGAGCACACGCACAGAAAGTGCAGTAAACAGGGAGATAAAGTGGTGCAGAATCCCCATGTGCCCTGCCACGGGTCACCCGGCTCTGCCTCTCCCCCGATAATGCCTGGGGTGAAGGTGAAAAGGGAGGCTGATAAACCAGGAGCCCCGGAGACAAACACTACACTATCATGCACAGTTCAGGGTTGGAGCCTTCATGAGCACCACAACAATTTGCTCTTTGATGCCAGCATAGCCCAAGCAAGCCTGATTTGAGGGGAGCTCCAGGTTTTGATGACTCTGACCCTGAGGCTGCAGCTGCTGTCGAAAGCCCTTGGCTCACACTGTGCTTTTAGCAAGGTCGGGTGGGAGATTTACAACCCCTAAGGCTGTCGCTCTTTCTCCCTCTTTATTAGTTTACTCCAGAGCCTGTCCTGCCCGGGGCCAGCTCACTGGAGACCCGGCGGGAAGGAAGCACCGCCCAACCCACTGCCCAACCCACTCCCCGAATGGCTGTGATTGTTATCAAACACTGTGGGAGCATGACAACACATCCCTTGCTCGCAGCCGGTGTTGCAAATCCCGTTTGACTAAAAGGAATTTGTGGCACCCATTCCAACACCTGCAGCACACGCCCTGGAGACCTGTGACTGTCTCCCCAGCAAGACCAGAATCCCACTGCTTTGAGCTGTGCTGTGTATTTGGGAGCCCCACTGAGTCCTGTGTTTTGTGCCAGGTCCATCTGAGTCTGTTCAGTTGGTTCAGACAGTGTCAGGAGATGTGATGTGGTGCCCCTGGATCTAGACCTGCATGGGCAGGGCAGCAGGGTGCAGGCAGGCTGTATGGCTGTTCCCAGAGAAAGGAAGGAGGATGTGAAAGCACCCTGTAAACACAGGGAGTAAAATCCAAGACACTTAAAGATGCCATTTGGCTTGACCTCTTGTTATACCTCCCACTGTTAAACCTGATTGAGGACCAAGCGATGTGTCTCTGGCTGAGGGCTGGCACACGGTGGAGGAGTAAGGGAAGGCAGGGGGATGGTTTTCCTGAAAAAGCCACCTTGGGTGACCAAGCCATCCCACCTGCAGCATCCTCACTTGATTCCTATTTCGGTCAAATTCAAGTGTCCCTTCCACCATGCAGCATGAGCCAAACCCACATACACAGACCTTGGGTCACCAGCCCAAGTCTGCTGTGCTGGGGACACTTGGCTGGGAGTTTGGGGGGCAGAATAGGGGCATGTAGGTATCATAGTACGTTAATGGGTTGGAATGGACCTTAGAGATCATCCAGTCCCAACCCCCTGACCAGTGCAGGGGCACTTCCCACTAGACCAGGTTGCTCAAGCCTTTATCCAACCTGGCTGTGAACACTGCCAAGGTTGGGGTATCCACAACCTCCCTGGGCAACCTGTTCCATTGTCTTACCACCCTCACATTAAAAAACTTCATCCTAGTCTAATCTAAATTTCCTCTCTTTTAATTCATGCCCATTAGTCCTTGTCCTATCATTGAAGTTCCTAACAAAGAATCCCTCTCTTGCTTCCCTGTAGGTCCCTTCAGGTACTGGCAGGTTACTATGAGGTCCCTATACAACCTTCTCTTCTCCAGGATGAACAGCCCCAACGTTCTCATCCTGTCTTTGTAGGAGAGGTGCTCCAATCCTCTTATCAGCTTTGTGGCCTCCTCTGGACTTGCTCCAACAATCCCATGTCCTTCTTATTTTGGGGACACCAAAACTATATGCAGTACTTCAGGTCTCACAAGAGCAGAGTAGAGGGGGAGAATCACCTCCTTCAACCTGCTGGCCACAGTCCTTTTGATGCAGCCACTTATCTTCCCATGGCTGCCCTGTGGCCTCTTCCACTGGGGCTTCTGCTGCCCTCCAGAAATCTTCTCCCCTGCTCCTTCCCAGACCGTTTCATGATCCACCCTGCCCACCTCCTGGTCTTGACCACTGGCCTGAGGTGGCACCAGGAGCCTGGTCCTGGCCCAGCACTGCCCAGAGTGGGCCCAGCTGGTGCCTAGTCATGGCAAGCATCCCACAGCGTGTGCCTCCCTGTGGGGAGGGATGCTGGGTTCTGGTGGAGCAATTGCTCTGCCAGGATGAGGAGATTGGCTCAGAAGAGCCAGTTTTTCCCCCAGGCAGAAGTTCAAAGTCTTCATGGTGCTTTGTGCTGGGAGACAGAAGCAAGGGAAACAAGGAAATGGTGATTCCTGTTCGTGATCGACACAGCTGACTGGCCAGTTTGACCTCCCAACCAGCTGCAGGGGACGGATGCATAAACACACACACATATTTATAGGCACGCTCACAGCAACTCATTTTGTCCAAGTCCCTGAAGATGTTGCTCTTCTTCTTACTTTCACTCTTCAATTTCAACCCATCTCTGAGCCTAAAAATCTGCTCCTTCAATGTGAGGTCTTTTGGAGAAACTAAAATAGCCAGACCCGAAGTCGTCGATGCCGTGGTAAAGGTACGTTCGTTTGCCTGGATGAGACAGGCATTATGCTTTCCAAGGCTTTCTTAGCTGTGAAACCTTGCACTTTATCTTTCACAGTTGAATTTCAAGTAAAAAACAAGAAGAGTGAATAATGTAAAAAATTTTGTACTCTTACAGTAAAAATCAGCCTGTGGTTGAATAGAGTGTTTGCTGTTATTTTAGCCTGTGTGGGAATAGAACAGAAACAATATTTGCTGTTTCCTTTGGAAATGTAGTTAGGAAAGGAGAAAAACCTCAGTGCACAGAAAAAATAATGTTCACTTTGAATCCACAGAGCTTTGTTTTGTGATACATTATTTACCTTCCTAATGTGCTAATTATTCTGAAATATTCTTGCCTAATTAAACCTATTCTCAGGACAGCACAGAGTGTCTATCATATTAGAGTCTGGGAGAAATCCGAAAAGCCCAATTGCTAGTTTGTGTAAGCAAACCCTCACCATCAGGCTGCCTCTGCAGCAGCTGAAGATAACTCTGCTTTTTGAAAGAACCACATTTTGGACTTGCAGATTTTGCAAGTGCCCTCCAAGATGCCACAGTAGGGGAGGACACAGTGCTTGGCATCAGTGGATTGGCTGTGGGTGCTGAACGACACTTATGAGGAATTGGGTCATGAAGTTGGGCTTTAATCCTTGCATTGCAAACTGCCAGAGAAGAGGGGTTTGCTTGGGCTTTGCATTTCCAGGCTTCTCTTCCTATAGTGTCAGCATATATACCAAATTATGGGTGATATATTTATTTCTACAAGTTTCAGGGTGCAAAAAGGGGCTTCTTTTTCTGACAAAAATTGCCCACAAAGTTTAAAGAACGATGAAACAGGGGGCAGAGCAATGGCCCTGAGGACGCTGGGTTGTGTGTGAGCTGGGCTTTCCCATGGGGAATCCCAGCACCAGCTGTGGGAGCTGAGCCCTGCAGTCCCTCTGAGATGTGCAGCCCAGAGGTGCTGTGGCTCTGTTTTTGGATGGGAATTCCTTTTGGCTCCAGAGCTGTTTCAGAGGGGCCTGCAACAGAGTGGGAGAGGTAAATGCTGCCTGCTGGGAAGGTGGAGGGGGCACTGGGGGCAGCATCCCAGCAGTGGCAGCGCAGTGGGATTAGGTTCACAGCAGTGGCTCTTGCTGTCGCTTCCCTTTTACGCTTCCTCCTCAGGGAAAGGTGCAGAAGTTTTTCACTAGATTTGAAACCACTCTGCTCCCAAGTTCCCTCTCCCAGCTCCTGCTGGAGTGTGCAGCAGCTCTGAAAGCAGAAGGGCTCCAGCTGCTGGCCCCCATCCCACAATCCCAGGCTGGGTGCCATTTTTTCCACAAAGGACTTCCCCACACCAGTAACCATTTCTATCTAACTAACCCCTTCCTTGTCCTCCAAAACTTCCTCCTGCTCCTTCCCATTGCAGATCATTTCTTGCTGTGACATCATGTTGCTGATGGAAATAAAGGAGAACAAGAACCGGGTTTGTCCTCTCCTGGTGGAGAAGCTCACCAGGTAGGGTGGCCATGGGGAAACAGGCAAATGTTGGGAAAGATGCTTGGCAAGAGCCTGTGCTCTGCTCAGTGCCACCTTCCCAGGGTGAAAGCTTAGGAGCCAGGCTCTGTCCCAGTGTTGAGGAAGGATGAGGCTCTCTCTGTCTTGCCAAGGAACAGGAGCAAAGCCAGCTCTAGACTGCTGTATGGCACATTTTTAAACCAGAATAACCAAGTTAGATTCAATTTGCTACATATTAATTCCTGAAGGAAAAAGAAGGGAGGGATTGCCCCCGCCAGGCTGGCACCAGGCTGCAGCAGGGAAGCTGACTGCCTGCAGGGCTGGGAATTGCTTTCGTTGGGGATTGCCTGCCTGGAGTGACACTCCAGAGGAAACAGCAGCATTTAGCTGGCTGGACATGAGGCCCAACTGAAGGAGTGACAGAGGCTACAATCAGCAGTCAGAAATGGACCACAGGCCCAGACCACAGCTCCTGAGAAAGGCTTAGTAGCTTTGCCACCTGCCTCTGAGGTCAGGCAAGCAAGATCCCACATCCTTGGGCACAGACAAAATTTTCTCTATCACTGTCCCTTGTGAGTGCAGAAATAAGCTCGAGAACATCACTTTCCTTCCAGTCAGCAGAAGGGGCTGAAGGAGGAATACAGGTGCGTGGCCAGTGAGAGACTGGGAAGGAAGAGCTACAAGGAGCAGTATGTCTTCATCTACAGGTAAGTGAGCCCTCTTGCCAACAAGTGAGCCCTCACGTCACCCTCTGCGTCACAGCTCTGTAGACATGGGCTGGACATGGTGGTGGTTTTGCTCCAAGGTTGCTGGAGAGGTGTAGGCTGTGCAGGTGGGGTGGGCTGTGTCTGGGTGTAGGGATCATCCCAGACACAACCGCCAGTGCAGCTCTATCTGTCCCAGACCATGGCCCAGGGTCCAGGCCAGAACATGAAGTCACTGTTAGACATATCCCTGCAAGCCATGAGTGTGATATCCCCCATCCTGTTCACTCTGCTGCAGGCAGCATCTGGCATCAGTGAAAGAAACCTATCAGTACCCTGACACCCAGCCTGGGGATGAGGATGCCTTCTCCAGAGAGCCCTTTGCCATCTGGTTCCAGTCTCCCAAAACTGGTGAGCTGTTTCAGAAACAAGTCGTTCTCCCACTGGTGAATCAGCAAGGCAGCAATGGCTGGACCTGAGCATGATGTGGAGGGCAGGGACAAGTGCAAAGGGCCACAACTGGACCACACGAGGCATTTCCTTCCAAGAGCAGTGTTTTGTCTTTGGGGCCGACACCCCCAGCATTGCCCAGAGCCTGGTGCATGCTGCAGCCCTGGGAAAGCCTCTGCCACTGCCACAGGGGCTGGGTTGGTGAATGCACTCCATGGAGCTGGCACAGCCATGGGAGCAGCTATTGCCATGGGTGCTGGATCAGGGTCTGCCTGCACTGGCACAGCACCTCAGGCTCGGCTGGGTGCCTGGAGGGGGGCACTGTGCAACCACACAGAGAGTGCCCTTGGTCCACAGCCAGAGCAGACGCTGTTTCTTTCTCAGAAAACCCTCTTTGCTGCCAAGTTAGTATCTGTTTCTTTGTGACTCAATATCTGTTTAACCATTATGTTTTTTCCTGTTCTTCTGCCTTGTTTTTAAGCTGTCAATGAGTTTGCTATAATCCCTCTGCACACCACACCAGACACAGCAGTGCGGGAGATTGATGAGCTCTATGATGTGTATTTAGATGTCAAACAGCGCTGGAAAACTGAGGTTGGTTGCCACATCTATGTTACTAACAGGGTTTTAGTACTCAGTAACCTGGCACATTATTCACTATTCACAGCTGATAACCTTAAACCCAATGATAACAAGCCCCAGGTTTTGAGTATCTCTCTGGTGTGTTTTCATTGGGTTCTCCACGTTTTAGTTAGTAAACTTGATCTCCCAATAAAACTTTTATCAGCGTGTCCTCGTGTGCCCAGCAGAAAGAAGTCCCACTGCACTAGGTGAACAGCTGCTATTTGAGCTGTAATAGCTACTAGGAGCATCCATGGGCCCTAAGAGTCCTCACTGGTTTTCTTTTGAAGAGCCATCCTCATGATTACTTTTGAAAACCCTCTTACCTTCCAGAACTTCATCTTCATGGGAGACTTCAATGCTGGATGTAGCTATGTTCCCCAAAAGCAGTGGAAGAACATCCGGCTGAGGACTTACTCTGAATTCGTCTGGCTAATTGGTGACAAAAATGACACAACAGTGAAGAGAAGCACAAGCTGCCCATATGACAGGTAAAGGGCTCACTGTCAAACCACTTGACTTTCTGAAAGAAAAGCTATATCAAAATGTGCCAGTGACCATCAGAGAAAGCAAATGGGTATGAGGCCATAAAAGGTAAAACAGTGTCCAGGGGAAATGTGATCTGATTGCTTCTAATCAGGAGCACAAAGCCCACTTTGCAGACCTCTTGGTGAGCAGCTTTGCAGAATGGGCAAGATTTCGTTCACGAATCAGCAGTTGCTGTGTCTCAGGTGGGGAGAGATGACAGGCCATTCAGCAGCATTTCTCATCTGCAGGGAGCCCTGCAGACACCTGTGTCTGGAAAGTGCTGATGCCTTCTCCATGCCAGCTTTGCACCATGGCTTTTGCTCTTGCATTTGTGACTTGGAATGACAAATCTAAAGCCAGGTTCTGCTCAGGGCGGGGATGCCTCACCTTCCCCTGGGCATGTGGTGACTCCTGCTGCCACTGCAGTTCTCTCAGCAGGGACAAGATATACACCAGCTGTTAGAGCCCAGAGCAAGTGAAGGCTTACACAGCTGGCAGAACAAGCTTCTGCATCAAAGCAGACCTTGCCTGAGACTCCAGTCATTGGTGTTCTCTGATTTTTGTATCAGAAACACAGCTTCGAACTTTGCAGCACTGTAGGGTGTGTTTAGGTAGAAATCATTTAACTTTCGCTTCCAAGGCCAGGGCACACCAAGATATCCAAGTGCCTCACTGCCAAGGAAAGCAATCAGCCAAACTCAGCAGAAGGCAGGAACTGGTGTCCCATGGGTAAGGACAAACCATACAGAGCTGTGACTCCATCTGGGCCACCTCTCTGGCTACCAGCTTGGTGCAGAGTGGTTGCTGCTGGTCAGGCACCCCATAACAGCACCTCATTCCCTTGCTCCTTGCAGGATTGTAGTCACTGGACAGAAGCTCATCCATGCCATTGTGCCACACTCTGCCAATATCTTTGATTTCCAGGAGAACTTTCAGATGACTGAGGAACAGGTAGGAACAGCACTGCCTCCGCAACAGCAGGGCAAGGGCTAACACGGGAGCACAAAGCCAGTGGTGTCCAGGCAGTTCTGAACACGGTCTTGGCCATAAAACCATTGCATCCTCCTAAAGTCATGCAATGTTTGCATTGCACCTCCTCACATCCACTACTGCAAATCCACTTCTCACCTGGGGCAGAGCTTGGAGATAGTGTGGACATCCAGCTCCCAACCCTGTGCCCCTGTCTTGCAGGCGCTGGGGGTGAGCGACCACTTCCCGGTAGAATTTGAGCTAAAAGCCAAGGGTGGCTTCTTCAACTGGCTGAGATCAAAGTTTTCAAGGAAGAGGAGACCAAGAAAGAGCCGTCAATCAAGATCATGAGCGTGCCGAGTCCTCTTGCATGGTGTGGAAATGCACAGATGCCAACAGATGGTGTCGATACATTCACAGCAAGTGCAATATTTAGCGGAGAAAAAAACCCGCAACAAATATTTTGCTAAAGTTCCAATATTTCGGGTGAGAAGGCAGCTTAAACCTTCAGGTTATTTTCTTCATTGTATGCAAAAGTAAATCAGCTAGAAGCAGCATACTATCCTTCCTGTACCTGTCATAAATGCAAAGAGCTACTGCAAGGGTAAAGTATTTGTGTGTGGTTTACCTCTAACACCTTGAAGGGTAGGGATCTCCACACATTCCTGTGGGCTCTGGAGCTCTGCCATTCCTCTGTGGGGGTGGAAGGATTAAAAGGACCTTTCTGAATCATGTGTGTGTGTTCATGTGTGCATCCTTCAGAGCTGCAACCAGCAGGACACGGGGCTGTGCCTGGTAGTTTGCAATGTAGAACGTTGCTGAATTTAGAGTATTTCTCAGTGGAGCTTTGAAACTGCTCACAGCATCTAGGGCTTGAGCGAAGTAGAGAGAAAAGACAGAGGGACTGGCAATGAGAGCTTTTTCTGCACTACCTCAGCCTGGAGCAGCAGGAAGCTGGTGGTTCTCACCCCTGCCTGCCAAGCAAACTTCAGGTGAGAAGTCTTGTGCATTCCAGGCGACACCACTGCCAACAGAGTGTCATAAAATTCACATTAAAATCTTATTTCAGCATCCTGACGTGGACGTGAACTGCATCCCCCTCTGCAAAAAAACCCTCTTCATGGCAGCCCAAAGTCCTCCAATGAACCAGAATTTAATGATGATTATTTAACGTAGTGGTGCAGCAATCTGTTTTCCCAGCTCAGCCCACAGGCTGTATTTAGTGCAAACCAACCCCTGTCACACAGATGGCATCTGAGAAGTGGGAATAATCCAACTGTTAGTAGAGGCAAATATCCCTCTCCTTTCATCAATGTGCCCTGGGTTGCCTGCTGAAGGGGCAGGGAGGGCAGGAGAGTGAGAGAGGCTTTGGGGGGAGAAAAAGTTTGGCCTTTGTGAAACTCACTGTTCAGGGAGAAAGAATTTGAGGAAAGAAACTAAATCAAGAGATAATTATCCCAGGGGTGTGTGTGCAGACAACAAATCCTCCAACTTTCAGTAGCAATTAAACTTGAAATGATACAGCACTTCATAAGCTCCCTCGGTTATCCTGCAGTCAAGGCAAAGGAAAGAGCCTGATTTAGAACAAATATTTACATTGGGATTTTTTTAGAGATGCCACTGTTTGGCTGACAGAAGTGATAGCTCATGTCAAGGTTGAAATCAGTCTGAGTTCTGGCCTCATGCAGTGCACAAAGGAATAAATCACACTCCAGAAAAGCAATAATGGACATATTCAGTCATGAAAAATATGCAATTACGACTACGTTTCACAGCAAATAGTTTTCCTTGTTTATGATATTGAATATAGTCCTTTACCCAGGATTTGAAGATAAGAGATGTAGCAGAGAGCAGCCTCGGGAGTGATGTCAGTGGCTGTCGGTCTGGAGCTGTGTGCTGGTTTGACTGGGACAGAATGAATTTTCATCACAGTAGTTGTATGGAGTTGTGTTTTGGATTTGTGCTGAAAACCATGTTGATAACACAGGGATGTTTCTGTTACTGCTGAGCAGGGCTTGTACAGACCCAAGGCATTTTCTGCCTCTTACCCCATCCCACTAGCGAGTTGGCTGGGGGTGCACAAGGATTTGGGAGAGGACACAGCCAGGACAGCTGACCCCACTGGGCCATCCCATACCGTGTGGCATCATGCTCAGCACACAAAGCCTGGGGAAGAAGAAGGAACAAGAGGACTGTCAGAGTAATGGTGTTTGTCTTCCCCAGTAACCATTACATGTGATGGAGCCCTGCTTTCCTGGGGAGGGCTGAGCACCTGCCTGTCCATGGGAAGTGGTGAATGAATGCCTCGTTTTGCTTTGCTTGGTAAACTGTGTTTGTATCAACCCACAAGTTTTCTCATGTTTACCCTTCTGATTCTCTCCCCCATCCCACCAGGAGGGAGTGATTGAGCAGCTGTGTAGGGCTGAGGGGTTGGCTGGGGTTAGATCATGACAAGCCGAAATTGCAGAGATGCTGAGCATTTGACCAACAGAGAGACATCTTAAGGCAAAATTATGCTCCTCCGTGGAAAGCTGGGACACAGTTTTGTGAGATTCACAGCAAAGATGCAGCATCTGTGCCCAGATTGGAATGTTTGATAGGGGCTGGGAGGTGTCCAAAGCTCCTACCGTCAGCACAGGCAGTCTCTAGAGATAATCCCTTGTTTATTCCATACATTCATTAGACAATATTATAATTAAATCCTACAATGTTTAATGTATCATGTCATCTCTGTTTTTCCCCGCTAGGGATCATTGCCCAGCTGTCCCAATTGCAAAGGGGTTTTCAAGTTGTTCCAGCCTGCAGGAGCCTTGATATATTCTGCAGCCAGAACAAAGTTTCTCTTTTTGATGAATGAGGCTTCTTGAGCTTTATTTATGATCAAACAGAAGTTTTACACTGGGAATCCAAAATGCCTGGAGAGCCTTTGTCTCATGCAAGCCAGGTCTCAGATCATGGCTGGGAGAGAAACAAAGAGGCTCTTCAGAAGCTGAAAACTCTCCTTCCTCCCCAGCAGCCCTGGCCAGGCAAGATCACAGAGCTGACAGGGTTCAGCTGAACAAAAAGTGCTAAGAGCCCCTGATCCCTCAGGTTTGGGTTCCTGGTAATCCTTTCTTCAACACATGGTGCTGGAGGAATCCTCTCTTCCCACAGACCCAAGATCTATGTCACTCCACAGAGAGACCCCTCCCCAGCCCACGGGAGGTCCCTGCTGCCCTGCTCCTGGGATGGAGACTGGGCTGCCCCTCACCCTGCAGAAACCCACACAAGGATGTGTTTTACTGCCCTGGGAGTGTGAGTCCCTTGGCCAGGAAATTCCCAGGAACCCACAGCAGCAGGACTGTCACTTCCCTACAGCCATCATCATCTCTCCTGGCTAGGTTTGTCCATCTGCACCTTCACCTGAAAAGAGCTTGTGTCCTCTTCCTGGCCTTGGCACTGCTCCCTACTAACCCACAGAGAGGGACCCAACACCCCTCTGCCTGAGCCACAGGGCAAGAGACCCTTTGGTCCTGGGCAAAGTTCTGCCTACCTCCTTTTTCCTCCTTTGAGGCACTGGCAGCAATGAGGACACAGAAGACCTGGTACAGAGCCCTGCAGGGACCCACGTGGCTTGTTCATTTGGGGGTCTGTACATGCCCCAGCACAGACTGCTGAAGCATGCACTGTGATTGAATATGCAGCATTAGGGAACATAAAAATATCGTGTCTAAACCACCATCAAGTAAACATGCTGGGATGTGCTGTGTAATGAACTGGACAGAAGGATAGGGGTCAGCTGGACCAGGGACTGTCCCATCTTTGCATCATGGCAAGTGTCCTCAGTTCTTAAGCCCTTTGGCACAGCAACAGCAATGCACAGCACAGCCTCTCTTATTTGGGTTTACATCTACATTTATTTTGCTTTCCTGAAAGTCTAACTGTGCATGAATACACACAGAGGTGAGGGGTCCCTAGGCATTGTTCATGTGGCACCCACAGGGAGCTTCTTTCAATCTCCTGGTAGCACAGAGCTCAGTGATCCTTGGGGAGCCTGGGAGATGGAGAGCAGGAGATGAGGACAGCAGTCATTTTTCTCCCGCCTTTATTCAAAAGGGAAAAAAATGAGGAAAATTACTTTTTTGCCCTCCACCTATGGGTCATTAAAAGCATTTGCAAACCTCCATCAGACCCTTGCCCAGAATAACGTGGTTTTTCCTTGCGCAGGCTCCTAGCCCCTGCCAGGTGGAGCCACGCACGCATTAGCTATTATTAGGGCCCCCTCTGGTGGCATCACTCTAAGTCCCTGTCTGGGGGTTCCTGTGTCATTCACACCCAGACCCCTCAGCACAACCAGCAAACCCAGGCACAGCAAGGAAATGGGATTTCACCCTTAGCTGGGAGCTCATGGATCTGCGTCCCCCAGGTGTCTCCACACAGACCTTTCATTCACTGCAGAGAGCCCGTGGCTGAGCTCAAGGAGTCCCTGGGCCCACTGTGTCTGTAAAGGAGTTTTGCAACCAAAAGGGAGCACTTTGTTGGCTTTAGGCCTGGTTATTCATTGCCCAAAGTTATTTATCTGGGAAACACTGTGACAACCTTCACTAGGCGACACTGCTCACAGGCAGCAGCTCCCAAGACCTGGTGCTGGAAGGTTACAGGGCACATCTGCCCCAGGGACTCCTTGGAGTCCCTGTCATACCCACACCAGGAGCATCAGGGCAGAAGCACAGTCACTGAAAGACACCTCAAAGGGCTGGGCAGGCAGGACCAAACTAGTCTCTGATAGTTTGTGCTTCATTTTGGGGAAGATATGAGGCTGTCCTGGCACCAGCACCACCATTCCCTCCCTGCTGCAGATACCATATACTCCTTCTCCAGTGTTGGGGGGGAAATGGCAGTTTGGACCAGGGGATCTTTCTGCAACCATAGAATCATAGAATATCCTGAGTTGGAAGAGACCCACAGGAATCACTGAAGTCCAACTCCTGGCCCTGCACAGGACACCCCCAAAAATCACACCATGTGCCTGAGAGCGTTGTCCAAAGGGTTTGTGAACTCTGCCAGGCTTGGGACTGTGACCACTTCCCTGGGGAGCTGTTCCAGTACCCAACGACACTCTGGGTGAAGAACCTTTTCCTCATATCCAGCCTAAACCTCTCCCTGAGCTGGGTTTAGCCCATATTCCCCTCCAGCATTCCAAGGGTTCAGGGACACAACCTCTGCACTCTCACCCAGTATAAAACCACAAGTGCCCTTTCTCTGCAGACTGGTTTTCTAGCCAGTGCAAAAAACAAGGTTAAATACTTTGTGCGTCATTTTAAATACAGTGTCTCAGCTGTCAGTGTTTGCAGGAGCAATTTTCTGTTAGA